TGTTTTCCCATGTAAACTATTACGCAATTCACAATAAAACATAAAAAAAAAAAAAAAAAAAGACATGGCCTTCTGAAGTCACTTGAAAAACAGGTGTTGTCACTGCTAAGTGACCTTCATCACTTTTGAAGCCACTAGGCATATAGTGTCAACACTGCTAAGTGACCTTCCTCAAGAGGCAAAAGGATCTATGTTAAGTCCACAGACACTATGGTAACATGCAAGCGCAGAGCTTTACCCGTACATTAGGAACAGCAGGTTGGTAAATGAGCTGCCTACAAGCCTCCAGCCGTCCTGTGGCTCCATGGAAGGAAGTCAACTGCCTGTTCATTTCCCTCCTTGGATTTCCACAACGGATTTTCTCAAAGTCAATATTCCCAAATGAAGTTATGGTCTTTCTTTTCCAAACTCTACCACTGGCATTTATCTAGAAACCAAACCCAAGAGTCACTCTCGATGCCCACCCCCGCCCCCCGCCCCAACACACATACACATTCTGTATCTATTCCTTCTCCACATTCTGTAGATTCTGTGTCCTAACTATCTCTCCAACCCTGCCCCATCCTTCCACCACAATCTCCACCATGTCTTCTAATCCAAGCCAGCACCACCTTTCACCAGTGGTCTCCTAAGTACTGGCGTCTCTTCCCAGCACCAACGCGGCTCTTTCTTCATGCCTAGTTACTCTCTAGCTACCTTGTGTTGGCAAAGAATATTAAATACACCAGAACAAACAAACCAGTCTTCAAAGAAATGCCACCAGGGTGCTCCTTAGATGCGAGGTTGCTGAGCTTACTTTAGAAATGTCATCAGGAAAGATGACGTCATCTAGAATTGCTAGAAAGGGACATCCTGTTGGTAGAAGGTCAGGGGAGCCCTCAGCGAGATGGATTGAACCAATGGCTCCAACAATGAGTTTAAACATCTCAACAGTCATAAATGTAGCACAGAACTAGGCCATGTGACATGTAAGGTAGGTATGGGGTGATGTCAATGCAACAGTAAATGACAACAAAGCTACTCTTTGCAGAAACCGAATTCTGAAGGTTATTGAGATACATCCACCCCAGGTTTAGGAGTCCTATAGATAGGATAAACACTCGACCTCATGGTTGGTCTGAACCTCAAGGTTGGTGGTTCAAGCTCACCAGCCACTCCTTAGAAACCCTATACAGGGTCAGTATGAGTCAGAACTAACTGGATGACACTTACCAACAACAACCCCAGGTTTACAATTCTTACAAGCAATACTTGGGGATGTACTTTTACTGACGAGTCTTTGCTGTTTACTACATGCAGATGTAACTAGGTGTCCTGTGTTTTACCTAGTGACCCTACATGCTGCTGGAACGAGACTTCACATACACTCGGAACATAGTCACCTCAATCTCAGGACGCCCCCAGCTGAATCCCTGGGTCTGGCCAGGTCTGCATATCAGAAAATGCCTGATGGCAGCTAGGCTTCCAGGAACCAACCATCTGACCCTTCCCATGACCTTCCTAAGCCAGGATTTGCTCTGACACATTCTTGCTGCAAAAAAGAAAGGATCCCATTTCAGGACATTTTTTGTTTGTTTTAAACAATGGCTAGAACTTTTGCGTTTAACTCGACTGCCCCCTTGTGGAAGTAGCAGTAATTGTTCCCCGATCCAGCAGTGGAAACTAACAATAGATGTATGTGTTAGCTGACTGCTGATCTCCTGTCCCAGGATGGCTGGGTCATGGTTACATATGCGTATGTTTCCTCTCAGTGGTGGTGGCTGTAACACCTCAGATGGCCACAGGTAAGGAAGGTATCTCCTCATTCTTCAGAGGCCACAGTTAAAGCCCCCAGCCCACCATGTGAGCAGTGCCATTCCCAGAGAGTGACCAACACCCCTTACCTGTTGTAGCTCTGGACCAGATCGAAAATCATCATATCTGTGGTGTTGACAAACTTGCACTGAACTGGCATGAAGTCTCCCTCAGCAGAACACTGGGGCGGTGATCTGTCTCCTACCCCATGGAGGATACGGCGGTTTCTGATCTCACAGTTCCTTGGACCTAAACATTTCCAGGGAAAAAGCCTTAAGTTCTTATGTATGAGCTGGTAAGCAGTCTGCTGTCAAGGTATGCACATCTGTGACAGAGACCCACACAGTGACCAAGGGCTGCTATGAGAAACTACTGAAATCTATTTATTCTTCTAATGGTTGTGGTTGTTGTTGTTGTTAGGTGCCATCGAGTCAATACCAACTCATAGCGACCCTGTGCACAGCAGAACGAATCACTAGTGTTACTGTTAAGTGCCGTCAAGTTGGTTCTGGCCCATAGCAACCCTGTATAGGGTTTCCAAGGGCGATTAATGAGCTTGAACCACTGACCTTTCATAAGTAGCCCAATGTCTAACTCACAGCCCATCCTAGGCTCCTTGAGAAGTAATAAAGCCATTGAAATTTTTTTACTTTCAAAATTTTGGCAGTTCCTCAAAGAGTCATACATAGAATTACCATATAACACAGCCATTCCATTCCTAGATCTATAGTCGAAAGACATGAAAGTGGGATTCAAAGATCCGTGTAAACACTGGTTCATCGCAGCGTTCTTCTCAATGGTGGACACAACCCAGCTGTCCATTAACAAGTTGTGGTATGTCCATTCAATGGAACTGTTGTTCTTAAGTGTCCTGAGTCAATTCCAACTCTTAACCACCCTCTATAGGATTTCCAATGAGCGGCTGGTGTGCTTGAACCCCCAACCTTGTGGTTAGCAGTCCAAATGCTGACCCTACAACGCCACACCAGGATTCAATGGAATACTAGTCCAATATGGCGTTCTGATAGATGAACCTTAAAAGCTTTATATTGACTGAAAGAAGTCAGACAGAAGGACAAAGCAAATACTATATGTCCCTACTAACATGAGTGTCTGGGATAGGCAGATGCTTAGAAGCAAACTTTTAATAGTTACAGAAAGGGGATGGGGGAGAGAGGGGGGATAGAGAGTGATTGCTTAAGAATTCTGAGTTTCTATTTTCCGGGTGGGGATGGAGAGCTTTTGGAAGCAGTCAGCATGGTGACTATAATTAATGCCACTGAAATGCACATTTTAGAAATGGTTAAAATGTGTTTTGCTTCAAAAAGTTCATGGAAAAATTCCATTATCTTTTAACATAGTCCTGGTATGTATTTTCCCATAATAAAATGATATTTTAGAAAACTGTAACGATAAAGGACAAAGGAAAACTGCCCCATAGGGTTTCCAAGACTATCCTCTCTGCAGAAGCGGACTGCAGGCATAGCCTTCTCCTAAGGAGTGGCTGGTGGATTTGAACCGCCAACCTTTTGGTTAGTTGTTGTTTTTGTTAAATGCCGTCGAGTCGGTTCCAACTCATAGCGACCCCATACAGTTTTTCCAAGGAGCAGCGGGTGGGTTTGAACTGCCGACCTTGCAGTCCAGTGCTTATTCTACAGCGCCACACCAGGACTAGCCCCTAGTGAGTGATTCGCCACTGTACCCTCAGGGCCGGATGCTCTGATGTTTGTCTGTGAGGCCGGAAGCTGCAGTTTGGGGAGCTGACAAGTGCACACCCCCGTCCTCTCCGGGGGTGCTGGAGCTAGGTGACACTTACATCTTGTCGGCCTTCCCTGCTGGCGGGTCCCGTACACTTCCATCCCCTCTGAGTCCACACACCAGCACTGCAGCTGCCATCTGTCACACTGGATGGGTGCATAGTCCCCGGAATCCTGGCACTGGGGCAGGTGGGACACGGCTGTGCTGTTGATGTAGCTGCTCACCAAGATGCGCTGTTTCTGCAGCTGACAGAAGGACAAGCCTACGGGACAAAGAGACGGGTCAGAAAGAAGGGCTCTCAGCCCGCAAGACCCAGGGTCCCTCCCAAGAGGGGCACAGCTGAGTGAGAAATGACTCAACCCAGGTCCAGTGTATATGGAGTCAGAGAAGTGAGCACCCAGGGCCATGTGGTGAGAGGAGAGGTGGGGTACAGGCTGGGGGATGGGGCACAGGTGTTTCTGACCCCGTGTCTCTCTACACGTATGTATGTAGACGGTATGGTCCCAGGTCCCCCTGGGCCTCACTTTGCTTATCTACAAAGCTGAGATAAAACAACCCCTGCTAGGTATATGAGGTAATGGTCATGACATTGACAATTATTGCAGCTTCTTGAATCCCTGCGGTGGCTCTGTAGGTTAATGCACTGGGCTGCAAAGTCATTTGAACCGCAAAGTCAGAGGTTCAAGCTCATCAACTGCTCTTCAGAAACCCTACACAGGGTAGCTATGGGTGGGAACCGACTCGACAGCACTCAACAACAACTGAATCCCTACTATGTGCCCTGGTTACATAGTGGGTTATGAGTTGAGTTGCGAACCTCAAGGTCAGCAGTTCAAATCCACCAGCCACTCAGTGGGAAAAAGATGAGGCTTTGTGCTCCAGTAAAGATTTATAGCCTCTGAATCCCTATACAGGGTCACTGTGAGTTGGAATCGACTCAATGGCATACAACAACACTGTGTGCTTGATGTTCTAAACTCTCCTCCCCTCCAAAAATAACCCCAAAACCCCAAATCCACTGCCATCAAGTTAATTTCAACTCACGGCCAACTCACGAGTAGAACTGAGTTCCTTGGGGTTTTCTTGGCTATAATCTTTATGGAAGTAGGTCACTAAGCCTGTCTTTCAAGGCAACTCTGGGTGGGTTCAAACCACCAAGTTTTTGACTGGCAGCCAGTTGTAAGCCATTTGTGCTTCCGAGGGACCCTGCCCTTCTACCCAGTAAGTACTGTGGAGTTGATTCTGACTCTATAGGGTAGAGAAGAACCGTTCCACAGGGTTTCTAAGGCTATAAGTGTTTATAGGAAGACTAGACTGCCTCATTTTCTTCCACAGAACCACTGAACTTACAGTTAGAAGCCCAATTCTTAACAAGGGCTCCTCATTTCTGATTTATACTGACCCTATAGAGTGAGGCCAGAACTGTGATTTAATCCTCACAATGACCCCGGGAGGCAGTACAGATGACAGGTGTGTGGTGTGGCCAAGTTCACTCATCTGGAGAGCAGGAGCCAGCCAGGGTGCAAGCTGGTCACATAGTTCTGTCTCAGGTCCAGACCAGCTTTGTTTCTGGGCCCAATCTTACCCGTTTAAGGTGATCTGCTTAAATTGATTTTTGCTTTAGAACTGTAGGTGTGGTGCTGTATGTAGGAGCAGCACTGGACTACGAACTACAAGGTAGACAGTTCAAACCCACCCACTGCTCCTCAGAAATCCTATACAGGGACGCTATGAGTCGGAACCCACTCAGTGACACTTAACAACAGCAACAATTTTAAATGGGGGCTGTGTTTCTTTCATGACCCAACAGGATACTAGTTTAATTGGACAGTTCCTCCCAGGTCATAATGTTCAGAAACACCTCTGGCCCCAGAGGTGTGTTCTCAGGACTGCTTGCTGGTTTAGGGGATGTGAGACTCTGGGGCCACCAGGCACGGGCCTGGCACGTGGAAGGACTCCTCAGCAAGTTGTCGAATACATGGATGGTTTCCTGTTTGATTTTCACAGGGACCCTGTGCCTGCGTGGCCAAGTCTCAATCAAAGAGAATCTAGCCAGAGAGGAGATACCTGCTCCCAGCCCACCGTTTTCTCCCAGGAAACGACTTTCCTTGTGAGCGCCCACCCGTGCCTCCCCATCCTCCTGATCCGCTTCCACACTTACAAGACACCGGCCTTCCAGGCAGCCTGCTGCCCGGCACCTCCGCGCCATCGGTACCCACACACCAGCAGGCCAAGCCTTCCTTCTCGCACTGGACTGGCCTAAGGGCAAGACACACCACGTGGGACACCAATATTTGCTCTGCAGGCCACCTGCCGGCCCCACCCACTGTGCTCTTTCCTTCCACTTGATCAACTTGAACACATCCACATCGCAGTGAGGCTGGAGGGGCAGAGACCCGGGAGCCCCTGCTCCAGACTTTAGGAGGCTTCAGAGGCCTGAGTCTGCCCACAATGTAGGGGGAAGGCAGGGCCTCAGTCCAAACACAATGTGGACAGAGGGCAGAACCTGAGTCCACGCACAAGGGCAGGGCCCGAGTTCTCGCACAATGTGGGTGAGGGCAGGGTCTGAGTCCAAGCAAGCCCTGGAAGGGACAGGACCTTAGTTCATGCTCAGTGAAAGGGAGGGCGGGGCCCCAGTCCCTTCACTGGCCCGTGCAGGGACTGAATCCACGCCCAGTGTAGGCGGGGGGGAGGTAGGACCCGAGCCCCCATGCACGCAGAGTGTGGGGAGAGGGAAGGGGGTACAGGACCCAAGTCCTGCACTGTGTGTGTGTTGGGGGCACTGTGGGGGAAGGGGAGGAGGTGGGCAGGGCCTGTCTAACCAAGACCTTGCATCCAGCCTCTTCTCACACCTTGAGCAGGCAGAGAGTTGGGTTTTGTCTGACTTATGTTCTTACCACTCCAGTTACCTAGTGCACGTGGGAATGGACTGCAAGGACATCACAGGATTCCTATCTATTTCTGGGGGCAAGGGGAACCTGTTTAAGTCATCACCCCACTCTGCACAGAAGTAACCTAGGACCCAAATTTGAGGGAAATCCTTTTATAGAGGGACTCGTCTGTCCCAAGGAGAGGAACTTGGCCAGGCTGGACAGCCACCAGGGAAAAGGAGAACCCCACCCCCTCCTGTGACCAAGAGAACACTGGTGGGGGGTGGGGGTGGGGAAAGATCTGAAGCATAACTCATTCACTCACCCCACCATTTAAAATGGGCTCTGTAAAAGTTGTGGTGTGGAAAGAAGGGCTGTCTTTGGCCCAGGCTAGGAGGCACCCCTGGGGTTGGGTGAGTCCCCCCACCGCCAGATGTACCCAGAAGCTCCACCCCAGGACCCTCCAAATGATAACCCCAAAGAAAGCCCAACCCCACTGCCATCAAGTCGGTTCTGACTCGTTGTGACCCTATAGAACGGAGTAGGACTGCTCCTTAGGGTTTCCGAGGCTGTCTGCCTTAATGGGGGCAGACAGCCTCATTTTTCTCCCAAGGAGAAGCAGGTGGTTTTGAACCACTAACTTGGCAGTTAGCAACCTAATGTTTAACTCACACCTCCAGCAGCCAACCAAATGACAACAGCACCTTCCAAATAACATCAAGCCCACAAAGGAGGCGTGGAATGCTCATCCAGAGGACCCCTCATGCCCCCAAAGCTGAATAAACCTTACTGGAAGCTGCCGTCTTCAGAGCACTGGGGCACATAGTCGGCTCCCTGCTGAAAGGCCGTCTCCCTCTGCAGCTCGCAGGGACGGAGGGGCTGCGCGTCCACTTGGTATTCTACAGGAGGGAAAGCGGGCCATTAGAGAACAGCCTAGTCTGGGTCCAGACCAGCCTGGTAGTTGTTGTTGTTAAGTGCCGTCGAGTCGATTCCGACCCATAGCAACCCTGTGTAAGGTTCCCAAGGAGCAGCTGGTCAACTTGAACGACCAACCTTGCAGTCGAAATGATTTTGCAGTCTGAAGCAATCGCTCACAGAGCCACACCTGGCTGGCTGGCTGGCTGTGTGCCGTGGAGTCAGTTCCAACTCAGAGCAACCCTGTCTGTACAGGGTTTCTGAGGCTGTAACTCTTTATGGGAGCAGAACGCCTTCTCTTTCTCCTGCGGAACCGCTGGTAGTTTCGAACTGCTGACCTTGCGGTTTGCAGCCCGATTCGTAACTACTATGCTACCAGAGCTCCACATCAGGACTCCTTAAACCAGGTGCTGGTCTGATGTTTCTTTCCTTTTCTTTTCTTAGCTTTGTCATCATTATCTACTACATCTGAAGTACAGATCTGCCCTTATTCATACTGTCCAAATGTGTGCATTAGTATATTCTATCCTCAAAACGACCCTGAAGAGTGATGTCTGGAGATCAGAGTTCAGTCAGTCATGTGACTCGGTCACCTGCCCAGGCATCTGCAGACAGGAAGGGAAGGATTCACAGCAAACCCATGGATTCCACGTTTCCTCAAGCTGCTGTCTGGTTAGTTTCCAGATTCAGGACTCATTCATTTATCAAACTGCTCCCTGCAGACAGTCTGCCTCTGGCCCACTCATGAATAACTCATGTGGATCTCTTTTCCATTGAGAACGTGTATAACTTGTCAAACCTTATACAGAAATTACAAGCGGAGGAAGCCAAGCTCTGGAACTTGGTCCAAAGTCACAGAGCTTCTAAGGGGCTAAGCTGGGGCTAGATTTCTTTTTCTCCTCCCTGATGGCTTCTTCTCAAATGCCTTTGCAAGGCTGACCTAGGACTTGGGGTAGCTAAGAAGATGAAAAATCAGTGCTGATACCAAAGGTTTACTAAAAGGACAGTTGTGAGAGGGATCATAGGGTGACTAGAATTGAATTAGGAAGATCCGGTTGCTCATTTTAGCTGCACCAACCACAGCTCTGTGACCTCAGGCAACTCAATTCACCTCTCTGAACCTCTGTCTCTTCTTCTAAAAAGGAGAAAATAAATAACTGGCCTCCAAACATTGTGGGAACAATATGAAGTCACAAATGATCAAAGGCCCAGGACAGAGCCTGGCAGGATATAGGAGCCCCAGACCTGATCCTCCCCTCCCTGGTACCTCTCTCCACCATGAGCACCACCTCCCTGTGGCTCCAGGCTCCAAACTCACCGAAGATGTTGGCCCCTGCAGAGCTGGTAGAGCCCAGCAGAATGCAGACCCACAGGAACAGGGCCATTTTTCAGGCCCCTTCCTGGGATAAATGAGTAGAAGCGTCTGCCCACCAGGGTTCCTCTGGCCAGGGACCCTTTATATGACTGCTGAAGGTACCATCTCAACCTCCTGGACAGTTAGGAATGCAGTGGCCCCTCTGTTTTCTTTGCAGGTCATGAGAAGGGCTCTCCACCTGCGCCCACGCACTCTGAGGACACTTGTTCAGTCAGTGGGGCAGGAGAACCGTGACCAGGCTCTGGGGAGCAGCACTCAGGGTGGGGGGAATCATTGGAAACCCAACTCCACAGGTGAGAGCAAAACTCTGTGGTTTAAATCTACCTTGGGAGGAAAGCAGAGCCTTCCTTCTTTGGCCCATTTCTCCCTTCTTCTTTTTTCCTCTCCTCCCTCTTTCCATCTTTTCTCTTCCCTTGATCTGCTCTCCCAGGGTGTCCCTGGCAGCCAGCACTGGGCTCTCTGGAAGTATGGCGCATGTTCAGGATACCTGAACACCTCCTGAGCTACCCCAGTCTCCAGAGCCTCTACTGCTTGTCCCCCATGACCCTCGGGGCTGTCCACCCCATGAGTTTCATGCTTCTCATACTTCCTAGGGAGACCTGGTGTGGCACTGTGGGATAATGCACTGGACCACACTGTGGGTTTGAACCAACAGGTCTGCAGTTCTAACTCACCAGCCGCTCATCAGAAACCCTATACAGGGTTGGAACCAACTCAACAGCACTTAACAACAACATATCTCCACAGGCTAATATTGTCCCACTCACTCGATGCCATCACTGTCTGTCCAATAGAATACAGCCCGGGATGTGCAGAGAGCTTCACCTGTGGGTCCCTGGGTCCCAGAACAGAGCTTCAACCTGAACTGCCTTGAACAAACACTGCTGAGTGAATGAATGGGTGGCACAGAAGTTAGGAATATGGGCTCAGCAAACCCAGTTCCCAACAGACACTGGCTCACCATGTGCCCTTGACATTTAACCTCTTGTCACTCCGTCACCTCATTTGCAAAGCAGGGATCCATACCTACAGACACTAAATAATACTATTGTTGTTGTTAGATGCTGTCAACTTGATTAGGACTCATAGCAACCCTTTATAGGGTTTCCGGAGTGCTGCTGATGTGTTTGAACCACCAACCTTGAGGTTAGCAGTCCAGTGCTTATCCTACAGTGCCACACCAGGACTCCAGAATACCATTGTTGTTGTTGTTAAGTGCTGGCTAATCAGTTCTGACCCATAGCGACCCTGTACAGGCTTTCTGATGAGTGGATGGTGAACTTGAACCACTGACCTTGCAGTTCAGACTTTGCAGTCCAGTGCATTAACCCACAGCACCACACCATTGTTGTTGTTAAGTACCATCAAGTCGGTTCCAAGTCATAGTGACCTAGGCTTTAAATCTTTGCAGGAGCAAAAAAGTCTTATCATTTTACCACGGAGCAGCCAGTGGGCTCGAACTGCCAATCTTGTGGTTCACATTCCAGTGCTTCTTGTATGATTGTTGTTGTTGTTGTTAAGTGCTGTCAAGTCGGTTCTGACCCATAGCGACCCTGTATAGGGTTTCCGAGCAGCAGCTGGTGAGCTTGAACCGCCAACCTTGTGGCTCAAACCGACTTTGCCATCCAGCGCATTAACCTACATTGCCACCCAGGATTCCGTGTTTAAAGCTGACTGGCAGCCCAGGAAGGGCTCGGTGTGGACGATGATGTTATGTTCGTGATACAAAGTATGGCACTTTAGTGAAAGTCACCAGTCATTTTAGTAGGGAGATGGAGGATGAAAGCTGGGTGAGAAAATCTGCCCTGCTCCTGGAATTTAACGTAAGAGGGGGCTTTATAAAGTTCATGGGAAAAAAATGGAATTAAAAGATAGCACAGATATTTCCACAAATGTTTGTCTCTCTATCTCTCTGACTGTCTCTGTGCATCTCCATCTGTGTCTCTGTACTCTCTGTCTGTCTCTCTCTCTGTCTCTGTCTCCCTCCCTCTCCCAGTCTCCCTCCAGCTTGGTCTGCATCCCCATGTGCATCTATCTCTAGCCAGCTTTCACCGTTAAGCTTCAGACTCACTCGTTCCTCTACCGGCCGGGCATCTCTGCCCAGGTGCTCCACAAACCACAACCCAGTTGTCTTCAAGTTGCCTCCAACTCAAGGCAACTCCATGTGTGTCAGAGTAGAACTGTGCTTTTTAGGGTTCACAAGACTGTGAGCTTTCTGAAGGATAATACCAGACTTTTCTTCTAAGAAAATATCCTCTGGGTGGGATGGAATCACACACTTTTCATTAGCAGTTGGCTTCTTAACTGTTTGTACCACCCGAGACCCTTGGATGATCCATAGATAATTCAAACCCACCACTTGCCAAACTGAACTCAACACTTCACCCAACGTTGCTCATGCCCTGCCTTTGTCATCTGTGACCTCAACCCCTAATGACATCTTGAGCCCCTTCCTGTCACATCTAATCAGCTCCAAATCCTACAAGGGCACCCCTCACTCACATTCCTCTCATCTCCATCCTTACCCTCACCCCTGCCTTCCTCCAGGCCCTGCTGCCTCTATACTAGACAGACAGAAACCGTCGCTGTTGAAGCAATTCTGATTTATATTGATGCAGTAGGACAGAGTTGAACTTCCTCATGGAATTTCCAAGGCTGTAATATATTGAAACGAACTGCCTCATCTGTCTTCTATAGAGAAGATGGTGGGATTGAACCACCAACCTTTCAGTTAGCAGCCAAGACCACCACCCAACTGGCCTCTCCAGCTCCATCCCTGATCCCTTCTCCAGGTGCAGGGGGGTGGCCCCATAAATACCCCATGCTGTAAAGATGGAGATTCACTCCTCAAGGGCTTGATGGGGCTGGGAGAGCAGCAGGGAGTGTCTCTCCTTGTGAGTGGAGGGCTCAACCTCAGACGGAGATTCTTTGGGGAAATGGTATTGGCATTATCAGCTGGAGAAGGAAACACAAGAGGAAGAAGTCCTTGCCCACTGCTTCCCCTCCAGCCATCCAGGTCAAGTGACATCCACGCGGTGGAGGGCCAGCATTCCACTGACACAGAATCATCTCCATCTCACAGAGATGCTGTACAGGGTTTCTGAAGCTGTAAGTCTTTGTTGGTGATGGTGTTGTTAAGTGCCATCAAGTTGGCTCTGACTCATGCAACAGAACAGAACTCATGCCTTGTACCATCCTAACAAGCGTTATGACGTGTCACCATCCTCACTTCTAAGGAGCATTCTGACGGTACTTATTCTAAGACAAATGGGTTTGTTCTTCTGACAGCCCATGGAACTTTGAATATTCTTAATCAACACCATAATTCGAAGGCATCACTTCTTCCTCAGTCTTTTTTATTTCACATAATATGAAGTGATTAAAAATAGCATGGTTTGGGTCAGGCACATGTAGTCTTCAAACTGACATCTTTGCTCATGAAGACTTTAAAGACATCTTTTGAGGCAAATGTGCCTAATGTAGAACGATTTATTTGATTTCTTGTCTGCTGCTTCAACAACGAAAGTGTTGAGTGTGGATCCAAATAAACTGAAATCTTTGACAACTTCAATCGTTTCTGTCTACCATGATGTTGTTTATTGGTCCAGTTGTGAGGATTTGTGTTTTCTTTACACTGAGTCATAATCCATGCCGAAGGCTTTATTCTTTTATCTTCATCAGCAAGGGCTTCAAGTTCTCTTTGACTTCAGCAAGCAATGTTGTGTCATGGCATATCACAGGTTGTTGATGAATCTTCCTCCCATCGTTTTGCCACATTCTACTTCTTATATCATCCAGCTTCTCAGATGATTTGCTCAGCATGTTGTTGTCGCTAAATGCCGTTGAATTGGTCCCAACTCATAGCCGCCCTATATAAGGTTTCCAAGGGGCAGTTCGTGGGTTTAAACCACCAACTTTGTGGTTGTCTGGACAGTATGTATCCTACAGAGCCACACCAGAACTCAACATGCAAATTGAATAAGTATGTGAAAGGATACAATGCTGGTGCACACCTTTCCTAATTTTAAATCATTTGTTAACCCTTTGTTCTGTTCAACCATTGTCTCTTAGTCTGTGTACAGGTTCTGAAGGAGTATTTTGTAGTGTGCTGGAATTCCCATTCTTCACAATGCTATCCATAGTCTGTTATGAGCCACACAGTCAAATGCCTCTGTATAGTCAATAAAACGCAAGTAAACATCTTTCTAATAGGCTCTGCTTTCAGCTAAGATCCATCTGATGTCAGCAGTGATATCCCTTGTTCTACGTCTCCTCCAGAGTCCAGTTTGAATTTCTGGCAGCTCCCTGTCAATGTACTGCTACAACCCTTTTTTTGAATAATCTTCAGCAAAATTTTACCTGCATGTCATATTAATGGTATTGCTTGATAATTTCCACATTCTCTTGGGTTACTTTTCTTTGAAATGGGCACAAATATTGGTCTGATTTTGTCAGTAGGCCAGTGGTTGTCATCCAAATTTCATGGCATAGAGAAAGAGTGCTTCCGGCATTGCATCAGTTTGGTGAGACATTTTAACTGGTATTTTGTCAATTTCTGCAGTGTTGTTGTTTTGTCTAATGCCTTCAGTGCTGCTTGGACTTCTTCCTTCAAGACCATCCATTCTTAATCGTATGCTACTTCCTGAGAAGTATTGCATTAGGCAAATCTGCTGCACAGGAACTGTTTAAAGTGTTGAAGAGCAAAGATGTCAGTTTGAGGACTAAGGTGTGCCTGACCCAAAACATGGTATTTTCAATAACCTCATATGCATGCGAAAGCTGGACAGTGAATAAGGAAGACCGTAGAAGAATTGATGCCTTTGAATTATGGTGTTGGAGGAGAATATTGAAAGTACCATGGACTGCCAAAAGAACCAATAGATCCATTTTGGAAGAAGTGCAGCCAGAGTGCTCCTTAGAGGCCAAGATGGCCAAACTTCATCTCTCATACTTTGGACATATTGTCAGGAGGGAACAGTCACTGGAGAAGGATATCATGTTTGGTAAGAT